GAAAAGGTCCAAAGGGGTAGGGGTAGTGGGAGGGGCAGGGGAAAGGAAAGAAGGGAAAGGAAAAATGATGAGAAATGGAAAAAATGGAAATAAAGTCTGGTTTTCTCTTTTGTTTAATAAGTTATTTCTTTATGTGCTTCTGACTTTCTGTACTCTAAGAAGTTTCTTGCAAATGGAGGAGTGACTTTCATTTTATGGACAATGAGGATAAGCACCTCATGGAAGGACCTCAGGCCTATTTGAATCAAGATCCTTACTATGATGCATCTTGGCCCTGTATGCCTATCCATGGATTTATTTTAAAATTAAAAAAACTAAACTTGCATTTTACCTGTCACTTTATTTTGTATTTTTTATGTTAAATGAAATTTACATTTTGACTAGAAAATATGCCAATGTCTTGTTTTAGTCAAAGTGGTAGTCCAAAATAGTATTTTGATTCTTTCTTGTGATTCTCTTTGTTCCAAATAGTTCCAAATGAATAGTCCATTACAGTTTTTAAATTCCACTTATCCTGCTACTCCCAGAAGTATTTTCTAATACTTCCACCAACATCTTCCTTATCAGTCATGTGATAGAGACCCTGTAATATCCTTAACAAATACTCTCTCCTGAGAATGTAGCTAGTTTCCTTTTGCAGCTGGGAGATTAAGCTAAGCAGGTGATATGCAAATGTTTATGGTTAGAGGAGACAGGTGAGGCTATGAAGCTCAACGGATGAATAATTTTGACACTAGTCATATTTTCTTACTTAATTTTCCTAATCACCTTTTAAAAGTTCTTTTTTTAATGTGCAAAATGGGAATCACTGTTGTGAAATAATTTGCTCACTATTTTACAGTTAGTAAATGACAGAGCTGAAACTTGAACTTACATTTACATGATTCCAAAATCTGTGACTATACCTCTGTATTTTATTGTACACAGATTATGATAGAATGTTGTAAGCATGTTGGTAGAAAAAATTTTAGATGCTAGTAAATATCTGAGACACTTGTAAATAATCTAGATGACTTCTGGTAGTGAGGAGCATGACAGTAGTTTGCCATGAGAATGGGAAGATGAATAATGAGGCTACCACTATGTGCTAGACAGCCAGCACCAAGGGGTGGATGATCTAGAGAAAAAGACAGATGTGATAGTCTCTTACCTCATATATTTCTGTGGTACAGTAATTAAGTTTATTGTTTTTTATTTAAATGAAGTATTGTTATATCATTAAATTTATTGTTCTTTCAGAGTTTTAATTAAAGACATTTCTTGTTCAGGACCAAGTCGTGACTAGGTCGTTAAGTGAATTGGCCGCTAAATGAGAAATTGTATACAGTATGTACATTACAGTATCAGAACAAAGAAATGGCCAAAGCAAACTCCAACTTGATGATTTTGCATAACTCTTTCATGCAGTATTGTAACGTATAACAGAACATAAAACTACAGGACTGTACAGTACAATTAGCAAAACATCATACTGTGTAGACAAGGTGTACTGTACAAAAAAAAACTATGAAGCTCTAGAAACAAGATGTACAGAAGTGGACAAGAAAAAAAAAAGACGGGTGATAAATCCGATGAGCGGTATAACACTGAACAGTATACCCAGGTCGTAAGTTTGAGCAGTTGTTAACTAGGTAGGTTGTTAAACAAGGAATACCTGTGATTCCAATCTGGAATTATCTCTATCTATCTATCTATCTATCTATCCTTTAGGATAGATCTATCCTGAAATCTGTCAACTTTATCAAAAAACAAAATAGGGTAATGGAATGCTTGCAAATCTTTATGTTCTTTGTCTATACCATAAATATTCCTTTTCCGTCTAGTATAAAAATGAACCAGAGGTGGGCCGGGGATTTAGCTCAGTGGATCCGCCGTCTGCCTCGCAAGTGTAAAGTCCTGATTCGATCCCTGGTACCAAAAAACAAACAAACAAACAAAATGAACCAGAGGAAGAAATATTTGGCTTCCAAATAAAACTGAAATACATAAAGCAAATTTAACATAAAACTATAGCAATAAATTACTAATTTCTATAAAATAACAACATGCTATTGATTTATCAATTCTTCCTGATATTTAGATACCTCATCTTCAGTTTCCCACTTCTGTAAATAAAGCCTTATGCACCTTCAGTCAAAGAGAATGCATAAGTACAAGATGAGAGAGCCATTACTGTTCAGAAAATGCCTTTTTAATGTAAAGTTCTCTCATGACCTTTATAACAATAAGAATTTGGCGTTTGTTTCTAGCTTCCAGCTTCTTGATTTTCTCACATTTTCTTGTATGAAAGTCTATTTATTTATTTATTTTTGAGGGCTTACAAGGTGTGATAAAAATATAAGCTGAATGTTTACATTTTAAAATTTTATTATAGTGAGACCCATTGCCATCAATCCCCTCAGAATCCTCCTCCTGGCTTTGAACACACAGTTCTCACCATCCTTCACACTGAGCTGTACTGGAGTCCTGGTTTGTGAGTGTCTTTACCAGGTGTGATCCACAATACTGTGCAGTATATGCTGCTGCCCAGTGCCATCCATGGAGAGGCAGACTTGTAAAATATCAGTGTGTCCTCTTCCACCTTACTCACCAGGCACCACAGACTTCTGGCTCTTCAAAGTAAAAATGATCATGAAAGGTACATGTTTTGATTCAGGACATTGAGGCAGCCATGAGAACACATCTGAAGACACCCATATAAGAGGACTCCCAGAACTGCTTCAGAAAGCAGCAAGTACGATAGGTAAGTGTATTCAAATTTTGGGGGAGTACATTGTGGTGATTAATGGCAATGTGTCTTTTAGTGGAATAAATTTTTAACTTTACACATTCATTGTCTTGTTCTTATACAAATCTTACACAGATCTTATACAGATAAACATAATCATAAGGTGAGATTATGTATTAAATTTAAATTTAATATTTGGACACAATTTCAATACACATAATTTCTGAATTTTAGATTTTTTAAATGGGAAACATGATTTTCATACAACTTTAAATCATTGCTTAGCCTTTATATCTGAAGGTAAGACTATCACTTTTTAAAGTAGAAATTTTATTAGTTTATCTAAATGACTGTTTTGTACTTGTGCTTGGCCTTATAAAATATGACCTTAAGTTTATGGAAACACCCTTTTCCTTTTAAAAAGTGCAATATAACAAAGTAGTCATTTAAAAATAGGACACATCCTGTAAGAATGTCTCATAAGACTGTGATACTTGATTTCCACAGAATCAAGCTATCTTTTAATTTATATATTAATTGGTACAGCTGCTAAAAGTTTTTCCCACATTGTAGGTTGTCTGTTACAACTGTTGGTGGTTTCTTTTGCAGTGCAGAAGCTTTTTAATAAGATGAGATCCCAGTTATTGATTCTTTCTGCTAGTTCCCATGCTGCTGAGGTTTTGTTCATGAAGTCTTTTCCTATGCCAATGTCTTCAAGAGTTCGACCTAACTTATCTTC